CGACCGCCCCGCGCCGCCGTGCCGGCCCCGTTCCGCAGGGCGGCTGCCGAGGCGGGGCGAAACTCAGCGCCGGGGCAGGTGGTGCCGAGCTGCCGGAGTAACGGCCGCGGGGCCCGCCCAGGGCTCTCCTCAGCGACTGCGCTCCCCGCTGAGGGCTCCTGTGAGGCGCAGGCGGTGGGTAACCGTCAGCTGCCTGAGGGCTCCGGCTGGAAGGCTGTTTGCGCGTCCGAGCCGCCCCGGATTAGGAACAGGCTAGTTTGGGAACTGATGAGGGACCCGGTGGGAAGGCAGCTGGTGAACATTAAGAAGGGAATATGTTTCAGGTGCGACAGCCTTTATTCTTGCCCGGATCTTCTGTTTAGTAATGCAGGGAAGACGAGAGGGTGTCGTTGCGTGGGCACGAATGTAAAAACAGTTTTCACTGATCAAACAACTGACGGAGTCGCCTTTGCTAAAGACGGTATGCAAAACCCGGTGTTGCAAAGCTGATTAAAAACCAACAACTTTGAATCGAATTTCGTACTGAAAAACATATGCAAGGTATACGCAAGAGCCTGGCCGCGGCACCTGCTGGCGTCCTCAGCTTTAAGTACCTGCCTCAAGCAGCTCAGGTTTGCCCCAGCTCCTCCAGCCTGTGTAGCAGCTTTGTTTGCACCTTGCTTTCAGAACACAAACTCGAGATCAGCGTTTGCCACTTAAGTAGGAATGCCACTGCTCGTTTGCAAGTACAGGGGTTACAGGTCTTTTTTTTTAATCCAGGCAAAATTGTAATTTTCAGTTCCTATATTGAATTTATTCACGTTGAATTTACTCACTGCTTTGTGAATTCACGCAGATGCCACTTAGGTAAAACGTTTACTTTATTGTAGTTGGCTGTCACTATGAGTGTGATGTGTTTCTAACCTCCCTTTATTTCTGAGGGGACACCAAATTAACTGATTCATTAAAGCAGTGTCAAATCTTACAGCAACCTCTAACAAAATGTTTCATGTTGAATTTATTTAATTTGTTTCAAAAAGCCTTCAGTGACAGGAACTGCATGATCTGTTGATGCAATTCCATTACATCATGATTTTTGTAGTTCTCTGAGGTTTTTTTCTAATACATTCTGTGCTGCAAATTATGCTAGTGATTACTTGTTCTATCCTTGGTGGGTATAAAGATATTCCATTTTTGTCTTTTACGTGCAGAAGAACTTGAAGGTTATAACTTCGCCCTTTCCTCTTCACATTATTCTACACAAAAAAAAAAAATTGTTCTCTTAGTATTTTCCTACTGATCATGTGTTTTTAAAGTTTATATTTTTTTCTACTCTGTCTCTGCAGTTTTCTCTCAATGTGGTGTTTAATCTGTACATTGTTTGCCAACTGCTGTGTGTTTCACTGCTGCCAAACAGAGCAAAATACTCGTCTCTTGTGCCTTAGATCTTCCTAGCGCCAAGTTTGCCATCCTTTTTTTTCCAACTGTATCTCATTGCACTCTCACTCTCTAACTGCAACGTGCAGATTTTTTTCCTGTGTTTTTCTTGTCTGGCTAGTTTTTCCCCTTGTATTTGGATTTGTTTTCTTGCTCATCGTTGTAGTACTTTGCATATGTCTCTACAGAATTTTCAGATCATCATTTTGAGTGCTGGTTCTGTTTACTAAGCTGTTTGCAGTCTTTCCCACCTTAGTTATCAGCCCAGATTCTGAAAGTGCGCTTTATCACTTTCATTGCCAGTGTATTAAGGAAAACATGAAATAAAGCCAGGTGCATGGCAGATCATTGTGGAACCCTATTTGACTCCCAGTTTGCAAGAGAATTATTCCTAATTACTTCTTCATATAGTACTTGTAACTGCTCTTCAGTTTAGGCCATAATTCCCTACAAAGCTTGTCAGACTCTCAGGTGACTTAGATTAAAAGCCCAATCAAAACTAAGTTTGTCACATCTGTGGCTTTCCCCTTGCTCATTGTGTCAGAAAAAGATTTGTTCTTGACAAATTCACATTATTTGCGTTTTATTATCATATTGTCTTCATAGATGCTCAATGACCGACTGCTTAATAACTTGTTCCATTATCTTCCCAAAAGGCTGCAGTTAGGTTGACTGTCTCTTGCCCTTCTCCAGTGCCCTGGGACCTCTCTTGGTTTTCTCTGGCCTTTCAAATGTTGCAGAGTTCTGCTTGGTTTTTATATTTACAAAGACGCTGATTTTCCCACTCATGTACCTTTCTCCTGCCAGTTTCCTAAAATACAGTGAGAATAATTTGGTAGCTGGAAGACGATGGGAAAATAGATGTGTTGGGAACATGTGCTACCCAATTAGGTACGGCCACAGCATCCTGGGAAGGGGATAAATTATGTGACTGTTGGACACCTTGACTTTACATACCTGATCCGTTTCAAACATTTTCAAAACCTCTTTTCTCAGGAACAATGAATCAAAAAAATAAAAGACTCCTTCCAGTGGATTCAAATATTGATCTACAAGCTGGATTTTAGCCTCAGGAACCTAATTATATTCTGAAAGTAAAGAATTTTCTGCTAGAAAGCTCGTCCAGCCTGTGTTGCTTCCGGTCAGTCATATAGATTGCATTACTTTTAACATATATACCTACTCAGAAAAAAAGAGTTACAAGTCATATCATGGCCACAGAAAGAAAAATGTAATAACTTTTAGTGGAATCGGTTTGGAGTGTATTTGTGTATACTTCAGTCATATAGAAGCAGCGCACTGGAAGTAGTTGTGTGTATTGTAAAACTGGGCACATAACTGTGGTGGAAGCTAAGGCAAGGGGAGAAATGTTCTGGAATATCCTGCAGTTATTTGTCTTTCTGTGATGGCACTTTGGCTTAAAGGTCTGCTAATCATTGGAAAACAGTTTTTGTTGTCAGCAGATGACAGTATTTCAAATCAGCTCTAATGCATTGTGACGTCTTGATTGTACATGTGTGACAGATGGCTGCTGTGGATGGTGAGCAGTAAATCCCAAAGGGAAACTTGCTTATCGCCATCTGAGAGGTGCTGTCTCTCTTGGCTGCTGGAATGCGATACTCTTTAATGGTGCCTTTCATGTAATCTCATGCAGAGACATATTGGACCATCATCTTAACAATGTTAGTTTCTTTTTATTAATGAGTGTGGTGGACTCTGACACTCGAAAGTGTTCCGGATATAGAAATATAGCATTTGCCAGAGAACAACGGCCTCTGTACGCAAGCAGCGTGTCACACAGGTACAGAGCCTTATTGCACTTGGAGAGGCTGTACGTAGGTGCAGTTAGATAATTTCTTTTCCCTCCTCTCTTTAAAACAATTACTCTTACCCCTGCACATCTGACAACTGCAGCCTACATTACAAAGTCTCTTTGAACAACAGGATAGACAAATATTATTTCCATCTTGCCCTTAAAGAAATCGAAGAACATAAAAGCCAAGTGACTTGTCTAATATGATGCCATCTGGCTTTGATTTTGTGGATGTAGAAGCACATGGTTAGTGGAATTTGAGTCTCCAACCACCTTAGTTCTTTTTGCAAAGTTGGGGGAAAATATATATGAAGTAGACTCCCCTGGGGTAGGTTGCCGGAGCTTGCAGTCTTGTAATTTTGACCACAGTCTTGAATATATCTGGAGATGAGTAGTTCAGCTCACTTCAAAAGAAAATTTTACAACTGTTGTATGTTTGTTGTTGTTATTATTATCATCATCAGTTCATTGATAAAACCCCCAGCTTAGAGAATATCAGCATGGAAATCCTCAGTTTAGACAGGGAGGAAAAATGAGTCAATTTCTTTTCCACTGATGGATCAAAGCATTTCAAAGACTTATTTTGTGTTTTGAAAAATGGATCTTAGAAAACAGGAAGTGAATCAGCCATTTCTAGAACTTGACAACAGTGAGTCCTGGGTTCCTCATGGTCCAGCATATTGTGGTGTGATCAGATTTCAGCTGAAGATTTTATAAAGACAATACAGCTCATGGGGCAGCTGTGGAATATACCTTGGTTTGCAGGAGTTTCATTTGGGCACCAGTAATCTCAGCGATACTGGATTAGCTGGTAAAATGGGATAACTTTGGTGAAGAGTTGTCATTCAGAGCTGATCATATGAATGGACAAAACTCTTTCCTGCTAATAAACTTTCCTGAACAAGTGCATGTTTATAAAATAACTTTTAATAATTTTCAAATTATGTACTTTTTGTTGCAAAATAGTTACCATTTAAAAAAAAGAAAAGGCATTTTTAAGTCTTCCAGGAAAAGATGCAAAATCTCCCCAAAAGACACTTTCCTAATGCTTGAGAAGATTTGCTGCTTTGGTCTTAAAACAAGACTCAGTTTCACTGGAGTGCCAGCTGGTGATTACACTAACTTTTTTCAGCTGCAAAGTGGCCTGACCCTTTCAGTTGTAAGCTTGCATGACAGAACCAACCACAAAGACAAGTTTCCTTACTGAATAGCTAACTGTCATTAGAAGCATTTCATCACAGGGAAAAATAAAACATTGTGTGCAGCGTGAGGAAAAAATAAGCA